TATATGGGACTGTTTTGCAAGCAAGTTGACCTTTAAACCCATTTGACCCAAGTATGTTGCATGACAGTTAATTTTTATCCTAACAAAAAATAGCAACTTATTTGCAAAACAGTCCCATACACTGTTAAAATGACCGATAATATGTTTTCGGACAGTTTTGCAAATAAGATATTTTTTGTTGGGAAAAAATAAAATGGCATGCAAATGGGTTTAAAGGTAAAAAATAGCAATTGCTTCTAAAACAATCCCGATACACTGTTAAAATGAACATGACATAAAACCTTGTGAAAACAACATTAGGACAACCTTTTAAAAACAAACTCATTCTTGTGAAAACAGCCTTGGGATAGGAGGCAAATAGAGGAGCTTCATTCTCACAATAACAGAATTCCATTTCAGCAATCCTTACTAAGTTTTTGTTCCTGATGCTCAAGGAATAAGCATTTCAGGGGACCTAATGTGGTGCAGAAGAAGGAGGAGACATATGACCTAGTTTTAGAATCAATTCTTTTTTAGGTCAAAATCCGGAAAAAAAAAAAAAAAAAAAAAAGAGAGGCAAAATGTAAGGTCTTTTATAGAATAAAACCCAATAGGTTTACCTGTTGTAACCGGCTCCATTAATGAAATAACAAATAAAAGGTTATAGTTGGGTTTATTTTGAAAAAAAAAAAAATAGGTATAAAACAGAAAAATGACAAAATGTAGGGTCTTTTATGGAATAAACCCTTTATATAAAGATGGAGAGACTCCATGATGAAATGAGGGAGTATTTAATTACCCAAATGACAGGAAAAGTTGCAAGAATTGATATAGTTTTGGTGAGATATAACCAGCTGCAACCATGTTCTTATAATCACATCCAGCATCAAATATATGTTCATGGCCTGAATATATGAAAATAAATTTAAAAACTAATCATTCCACAAATTCATAAAATTCTCAACTATGAAAGATGATAGTCAAAAGAATAAAAGTTGCCAAATAGCATACCATTTGGCAAAGATTCCCCAATGATAGACAAAGCTTCCTCAAGGAAATAAAAACATTGTGAGCAGCTTTTCTGAAAAAATCACATTCTTCTACAGCTTTGGGGGCATGCTCTATACAAATTTTAACAGCCTAAAAAACAATAAATAATATAAATGAGCTAAACTAGTGATTCTGAACTAAAAGTTTACTCTTTAAATTGCTTAAAAAACAATACCTCATAAGCACACAAAAGCCCCAACTCATCAAGACAATAAACAACCTTAGTGTAATCATTAGACAACCTCTTTCTTAGAATTTCATGTTTTTCATCGGTATCTTTGTAATTACTTTGTAGCGACACTTGCAACTCCAGCAGTTGTGCTTCAAACTGTCATTAAAACAGGGGAACAAAAGAAAACGGAATGATTTATTTCTCAAGGTTCAGTTTTTATTGTAAAAAAATCCGTAATTTTTAACATATTCCACCTTAAATCTTGAGGATTCCAGTTTAGCTTTTAGTTCTGAATGAGAAACCTTAGATGGCTCATAGAAACAATAGGAATGTGAGGCAGATGGGGTGACATTCTCCAGCTCTGTCCTGTTTCTTATTGTGTAAACCTTCACATTCACAAAAAACAATTTTAATCAACAAATTTTCATATTCCAAATAACTTTTAAATAAAGATTTAAACTTGTGAGTTATGATTTGTGATTTCTACTACCCGAGAATCCAACATGCTTTCAAGCATTGTCATTTGTGCTTCACAGTCTTCAGTCGAAGAGACACCTAATGTAGAAATTATAGTACAAAAGATGTATATAGTTATATGTTGATTACCTTCAATATTGGAAAAATTGTGCATAAATACAAATTTAAAAAAAAAAAAAAAAAAGTATCTAAAGGAAATATGTCAAGAACAACATCCACCACCAATGTGTGCCCTGCTACTCACGTTCTCAGCCTGCATCACTGAATATGATCCGTGTATTGCAAATCATATTGAGCAACGCAGAATGAAATGTAAGTTTTGAGACAATCATGGATGATAGATCTTGTTTCTTATTATTGATTTATTTCCACATCAATTGTTCACTGGATAAAAGATGTTAAATAGGTATTTGTTAGAAGTTAGGACATAATGGGGAAAGACTTCTTTCCTTCACTTTCTCTATTAAGTTGTTCTCTTTGCATTAAGATAACAAGAAACACCCATATTTAACGTCTACCTTGTTACAGAAATGCAACATGATTCAGACCCCATGAGTGGAGAATTTCACATTCTTACGCCCCAATGTTATAAACAATTTCAAAGTCTTTAGATTTAAAAAGATGGAAGAAACTAAAAAAAAAAAAAAAAAAACTAACCTTTTTAGTTACAGGGGATGCAGTCATGCCAAATACTTTTGGCTTGTCAACAGCTTTGAGATAAAATTCCTTCAAAAAGAACAAGATAAAACCTCACCAACATATTTTTTTCATCACAAAATCATTTATATTAATAGTGAAAGATAATTAATTACCTTCATTATGGTTACATAAGGATGATTACCAGTAGCTCGGTGACACTCATCAATAATCAATAAACATATTCTTTCAAAGTTCACAAACGCATTCCTCAAGGAATCCAACAAAATTTGAGGAGTCATAACCATTATCTGTTAAAATATAACAAAAACGATATGAAAACACCAGCACTCATACGCAAAGCTTTTATTAAAATATAAGAAAATGATGATGCGAACTTCTAATCTTTTATAAAATCAGAAATAAACTCACTTGATTTTTACTTGTCTCGTGTTCCCAAATGGAAGCATCCCATTCATCAACCTTCTTTCCATCGATATTTTTACCAACACCCACTTTAGTCCCATGGTAAAAATCAACCATAAGATCTGTGTTTTCCCTAAGAACCTTACATTGCTGCAATTCAAAACAGATACCACTTATCTTCAAATTTGATTTGGATTTCATAACAAAATTTACCACTTATCTATCTCCCTCGTTTCTCTATCTTCAACTAAGTTGGCAGAGTCTAATAAACGTAAATTACCCAATATTTTTATAAATGGTGTTCATACTATACCTGTTCAACAAGATTACGAGTTGGGGCCAAGAAGATCATCAGTTTCTTTTCAGATAGTTGATTTTTAAGAGAAAGTGCAACTTGTTTGATGATCATTACGGCGATCATTGTTTTTCCGGCGCCGGTGTCCAGATGAGCTATGGTATTACGCCGCATAGCCACATTAAACACATCCAACTGATACCTAAAATTCAAGATTAGCAGAAAGGATATCAAATCAAATAGAAATAGAGAACTGCAGATAAGAAAACATAATCAATCCAAGAGTCTTACTCTCTGGGTGACAAATTTGTTTGGGGAATAATCACGTCTTCCGAGCTTCATCAAATAAATCCACATTAATCAAGACATAGTTAGTTTTATATGATATCACATTTAGTAGGATTAATAAATTGAAGAAACTCAAAACACTTACGGCCTGGGTTGTTGGCTATTAGATGAATCATAAATCATCGTTTCAAAACTTCTCTTCAAAGGGTTTGTTGGGTTTCCTGAAATCTCAGAGGAATGCATGTTTCCGTTCAACTGATTAGCAACCCAAATCAGAATAATTTTGGTGTGTTTTTTTTGGGGGAAGACACGGAATATGTGTGTTGTTTTGTTTTTCTCGAGAAATCTGACGAATATTGTAAAACTTCTGCAAAAATATCGATCACTAGGTAGTGCGACGAATCAATCCAGTGTACGTTTTTGCTGTGTTTTAAAGAGGGTTTACTTTTGAAGAAACTTGCATGAACATTGAGGATTCACGGAGAGGACTGAGTTCAAAGTACTTTCCCAAAGTGAAAAAAAGAATCTCTCTACGATTGGGATGATTGACAGGATCGTTTTCCAAGTTAAAAAATAATCTTTATTGGGATGATTGAGAGGTGGTAGGAGAATATTATTTACGAGAGAATATATATATATATATATATATATATATATATATATATATATATATATATATATATATATAGGGTTAGGTTCATGTAAGACGATCTAATTTTGTGAGACCGTGAGACGCATTTTTTTATTTTTTTTTAGTTAATTCAAGTTCCGAAAATAATATTTAAAAAAGAATTTTTTGATTTTTCCATTTATTTTGCATTTTAAAATTATTTTTAGAATATGTAATTGTAATATTCTATTTAGAATATTTAACGTATTTTTCAAAAAAAATAGGATTTTTTTATTTTTTTTAATTTTTTTTAGTTAATTCAAGTTCCGAAAATAATATTTTAAAAAAGAATTTTTTGTTTTTTCCATTTATTTTGCATTTTAAAACTATTTTTTAAAATATGTCAGTGTAATATTTTATTTAGAATATTTCACGTATTTTTCAAAAAAAAAACAGGATTTTTATTTTTTTTATTTTTTTATTTTTTTTAGTTAATTCAAGTTCCGAAAATAATATTTAAAAAAAAAAAAGAATTTTTGGATTTTTCCATTTATTTTGTATTTTAAAATTATTTTTAGATTTGGTCTCACGGTTTCCCAAAATTAGAATGGTTTCAAATGAACCTGAACCTATATATATATCTTTACTATCTTATAAAAGAAATCCCACTATTTCTAAAAATAAATTGAATATAATAATATTATTTTTTTAAAACGTTCAAATCATTAAGCTAACAGTACAAGTAGTTATCAATAAAATAATATTAAATTTTAACATGTGTTTTGAATCCTTATTTTTCTCAACAAATTGTATCTTCTTCCCTGAATTTCGGATAATTCAAATTTGAAATCATCAGAAAATACATGTTGATTCAAATATTTCTCCTATAGATGGCTCTTTATTAACAGGTTTTTATTTTAATCCTTACTTGTAATTGATTTCATCATTTTTAACTTTTTATATTTTTATCTTATAAATATATTGGGTGAAGGTTTTATTATATCAGGTTTGTTCCTAAAAATGTTTTTACTATGTTTCTTTAATGTGTTGGCTTTGCAGGTTCAAAGAACTCAACCAAGAGAGCCAGTTAGAGCATTGTATTATCATTACTTTGTATATTTTGACATCTTACTTTTGCAATAAAGAACGGTTAAACACAAGATTTGACATGATTAAGGTAGTTTGTATATTTTTCATATTGTTTAGTCTAAAAATGAAACCTTTTTCATCATTGATCCTTATAATATCAAGTTTTATCACATAGACTTCCTGATTACGGTGATTATTGTCCTTATTATAAGGTTCTATATAGATTTTGTTCAATATTTTAAGGTTTCGAGAACCTAAATCAATATGAATCCTTGAATTACATACCATCGTTGAAAATGTTTTAATTTGTGACCAAACTTGGTTTAAAATCACAATGAACAAGTTGACACCTGAGTATTTTGGCATTCTCAAAGGCCTATTTATCGACTTTTCAATTACAACACCTGATATTCTAAAGGTTTATTTTTATAAACTATTATTTATATATTTTAGCATTTTACTTAGTAGAACATTAAATTAACAAATGAATTAAGGAAAAAAAAAAGACGATAAACAGTACAAACTTAAAAGTCCAAAGTTAGTAATAAAATCATAAAGAAGACAAACTTTATGTTTTTTTTTACATAATATTGTTTCTGCTAAGACCACAAAAGTATTAGTGAAGCCTAACGAAAATTTAAAAGGTGATAAAGTTTATACATCAAATGTGGTGTATAAAGAAGTGTTGCACGATTGATAATATATAATTAGTCATGTGTTATTACAAATTTTCATATTTTGTGTATTCTTATAATTCTTTATTTTTGTTTGAATTGCTTAAACATTTCATATTTTATGTCATCTTGACCAGTTTCTTTTTATCGGTTATTTGATGTATCATGTAATAAATAACACCATAGTTTGATTATTTTGTCTTCGACATGTACTTTCTTTTGTAACATAACAATTTTGTAGAGGAAACATATCACCGAAAGAATTTACACACCCCGCCGCTTTGCGCGGGTACATTGCTAGTGTGTGTGTGTGTGTGTGTATATATATACACACACACACACACACGTTGTTTACCTGCGTCAACTGACTGGTAGAAATAGTTTTTTTATAAACTAGTTTCGAGAGACGATTAGTTTTTTACGCAAATAATCACTACATTAAAATAATTATTAATAAGAGTTGTGCTAGTAAAAACAAAATCAATAAGAATTAAGAATGAAATTTTGGATTCTTTATAAATATATATATGAACACATGATTGATTATGTATTATTAATCGAGCAACATTTATTTATACACAGTGGCGGACCCTTTTAGGGGCCAGAGGGGCCATGTTCTCCCCGCTTTTTGCTCTCCTAATTAAGGTTTATATAATCAAATTGAAAAAGAAATACGATAATGACAAGCTTCCCTCGGTTTCCAAATCATTGTAATACATACATACAGTATATACCTAATATATTAAAATTATGCAATTTAAATATTAACTAAAACAATATATAACCGATAACAAAAAGTTTTCGGAAGATCACCAACCAAATAAAACACAAACCTTATTTTTTTAGGAATCTGTAAATAAGGAAATAAATCCTTATTAAAATCTATAAAAATCCCAAAGATTAAATCAAATTTACAACGATTTAACTCAAACTTTTTAAGAAAACTGAAAAGTGTAAACCTAGAACCCCAAATTTTATATCCGGAAAAAACCTTTTTGAAACTCACCGGAAGAACAACGTTGTCCGTCAAAACCATTGTCGTCTTGTACTCTTTTCCGATCATCGGATTGTTCGCCGCCTTCACACTGTACGCATTCTCCCCGCTTCGCTGGTTGTCGGAGGCTGGACTGCTGAGAGTTTACCTTCGTCGTGCACTTGTGTGCTAGTCGGTTTTCGATTTCCCTCTCAAAGGTATATTCTTCGTCATCTTCTGCAAGTAGTCTCTTTGTGTAACACCGTAAATTTCAGAACAAATTTTTCAATTTTCTTATAAAACATAATTCGATTAATATTCATCAAACAACCATATTAATTATCCAATATAGGTTGATACAAAATCCCAAGATCACAATTGAAAAACTCTGAGTGTGTGTACGGATCAAGTCGGCGCCTTCCCGCGGTCGTCACTAGTACGTGAAACAATAACATCAAACACTGTAAGCACAAAGCTTAGTGAGTTCCCCAAAATACCACGTTTAACACATAATAGCCACTCGAGGCTATAACTATGTGGGTCCGTGCACCCAAACTCTGTGAACCCTCAGGTTCTAACTCTGATAAACATGCACCACATAAATCACATAGAAATAATGCAGTACAACACATAACATACATAGCATACAAATACTCTATCACATAACTCTTGTTACCTACTCAAGGTAAAGTATAGTGAGAAGACTCACCTCGCGTATCTCGGTATCTCACGAATCCTGGAAATCCCTCGTGCTCGATCCTCCGAGCTCTGAATCTTCCTATAACATTATATGTCTCTAATTAACACTTTATATCTCTAAGGTTGACTATCCCTAAGAAGTCAACACAGGTCAACTCTGGTCAACGGTCAATGGTCAACTTTGACCGGACTCGGCGAGTGCTACGGCGACTCGGCGAGTCTAGACGTTTTCACCAACCCTCTGAAATTCCCTTCCTACACGTCGAGTATTCCCCCCCTTACTCGACGAGTTTCACCTGGAAGAATCGCGGGGCCACCCCGACTCAACTCGCCGAGTCTCAAGAACAACTCGGCGAGTCCCAGTTTGACTCAGTCCACTCGCCATCCCTCTCCAACTCACCCTGACTCACTGAGTCTACCCCTGACTCGATTGGACCACTCACTGAGCAATCCCAAGGTAATCTTCAAACTACTCGCCGAGTCTGATGAACAGACTCGGTGAGTCCATGCCATGCAACCACTCCAACTTGCTTCTAAGGTCAGATCTGCTTCCACAATCTATAGATCTGGCCTCCCTAGACTGATTCATCACGTAAAGCTTCTATCTTGGTGCCCATAACACACCCCATGGCTCATAAATGGAGTTTTGACCTAAGGCATGAGGATTCCAATCCAAAGCCTCCATTGATTCCCAAAAAGCTTGGGTAAAGGGACACTCTGGACCTCTAAGGGTCCAGATCTATGATTCAAACCTTATAAGGGACCAAGAGGACACTAGATCTTGCCACAAAAGGGTTCAACAAACCCTAAATCTAGATAAACAACAACAAGGAAGAAGATAACTCGAAATTATTACCACAATAGTGATGCTCTGGACTCCAAACCCTCAGAAGTGGCTCCACTTGCTTTGGCTAGTTCTTCTCCTTCCTTGCAACAATGGCACCTCCAAGATCAATAATGGCCTCCTACTTACCTCCAAATGCTCACACTCGATCAGGGTTTCACTCAAGGGACTGGTGAGCACAAATGACGGCCATTAGGCCCTTTAAATAGGTCTCAAACCCGAGAAATTAGGGTTTCATTACACAGCGCTGACTCGCCGAGTCCATATCCTGGACTCGCCGAGTCCAGGCGCGATCCCGCGTCCAGATCCGCGTCCCTACTCGGCGAGTCTGAGCTCCAACTCCCCGAGTCCCCT